CGCTCCCGCCTGCGCGGGGCCTTCGGGCCAGGCCGGCCTTTTAGGGTTAGCGCGGCCCTCACCTTTGACCCCCGGGATCGCAGTCGCTGCAGCAGGCCGCTGAGCGACCCCCGGGGGCCCGAGGTTAAAACCAAACAAAGCAAAACTGTATCTCTTTGCTGCCCAGCGCGGGGAAACCAGTTGTGGCTCCCCAGCCCTCCCGCGCCTCAGCCACCCCGAGAAAGAGAACTGGAGCTGTCGGGGCCGCGGCTGCGGGGAACCCGAGGGCCAGGTTATCCCAACGGGGCGCCCAGGCCCGGGAAGGCGGTCATCCATCGGGGAGGGGGGAGAGGCTGGGCTGTGGCCACCCTCACCTGCCCTGGGTCCAGCCCCCCTGTCCAACTGCCCCTCCACCTTGTGCTGGGGTGAAAGGGGGCGGGGGCGCCGAGGAGGGGTCCGCCACCTCCCCAGGGGCCTCGCCGCCATCCATCCACTCGGAGGAACTGACAGGCAAACCGCAAGGAAAAACTTCTGCAGCCCATATTTATGGTATTAATGAATAGTTAAAAAAAGATTTACGCTTCTTATGATCAATATTCTGAGTTATTTCCCTCAAAGTATATAATTACAGAGTCCTCGGAGTTTTCATCCTAGTTTTGGGGGTGGCAAAACCATTTGTAATTTGCATTAGCCAGTAAACATGTAATTAACATTCAGCACTGTGTTTAACTTAATTCCTGTTTAAGACAAGGACAAGACGCAGCCGAAGAGCTTTAGTTCCATTTGTCAAGTCTGACATACATCTTACCATCCAGGCTCCTAAAATAAAAGATCCGCGTCTCCCCATTATCCCTCTCTTAAAACAAAACAAAACAGAACAGAAAATCCATTAGCGAAAACTGTATCCAACTACGAGGGGCAACATAGTTTCCTCTCAGGTTCTCCGGCTCCTGGATCCCCGCTGCCTTAATTCATTTGAGGGGGGTGGGGGGGCTGGAGGGGGTGAATTAACCATTCATTATCTGACGACCAGAAATGGGGAACCCCTCCCCCCCCAGAGGCACAGGGTTTCTCTCCAGGAAAGTTCTAGAATGGGGACTGGGAATGGGGGGGGCGCATCTGCAGGGGAGAGGGGGGAATCGCCGAGGGGAACTTGAGTTAAGAGTAACAAGGAATGAGGGTTCCAACGGATTCCTA